ACTGATGACTTAGCTGAAATTTCGAAACCAGCGCTCGACCTTGACCTTGACGATCAAGGAAGTAGGAATGAACGCACATCACTTATATTTCAAGGGTGAGAGGGATATTTTAAATGTACTACCTTGATATAAGGACAGAAAAGCAGGAGAGAGACTGCAGTGACCATTTCTGGCTAATTAGCAGTCATCAGCCGGTCATACCCAACCCCAGGTGTTTCAGCACCCGTCTTTCAGGCCTCGGGTATTGTATGGGTTCTTCGCAGCGGTTGTGCTCAGAGCACTACACTCCTCAGACCGAATCCCAAATTGTAAATAAAAGACTGGAGGCATCAGAATGAGAGCTTTATTGTGCACAGGAGCCTGAATTGCTGTCTCGGGCGACAGTGGCCACTGACAAAGCCAGGGCTGGTGTTTACTGCGCTCACAGTCATGTGTGGGTATCGTGGGAGTGAGAGCGCTGACAACTGCTTATGCATGCATGTAAAGCAAGTTCAAGTGGTCTGTTGCATCGCCCGAAGGGGCTGTCGCGTATAGAGGTCCCTGTTGCGTCGGCCAAGGCGGGGGGAGGGACGGTGGCTTGTTCAAACGGCCCTTAGACAGCTACCGCGACTACTTGGCCGTGACTGTGTGTGTGCGTGCCGGGAAGTCAGTCGGGGGTCTTCAGGTCGGCGAGTCGGAAAGCACTGTCTGCGAAGTCGCGTGACCTTGAGGCAGTGGGCATCAAACATGGGAGCCGGACAAAATTTTTGGCTGTCCGCCACAATATGACGGAACCAGCATGCACCATAACGCGTTTGGCGAACGTTCTATGTCCTCTTGTTTTTCTTTCCGGCAAAAGTAGGTTTGGTGGCCCAGCTTCCGAATTCTGTCTTACTGGTTGTCATGGGTGTTATGTGGGTGGGTCATATCAAGGGAAATAAAAAATGATAAAGGCCTGTAGACCGTATAGGAGTAGAAAATAATAGCAATAAGTATTTCAGTAACCTTATGTTTGGTGCGGTGATTAAAATGAGAAGCACAGCCGATGGGAAACAAGAACCTCGCAAATAGTACCCGCGACTTGGATACAATCGCATATCGACTTTGTATCCACTTTCAGAGATTAAAAGTGATACTGTGAAAGATAGGCTTTCTCCCCTTTTTAAAACTCGCAATAGTTTCTGCTCCATTTAGACAGTTCTTCTAGTACGATAAGCCGAAAAACAACCGCATGCCGCCAAAAAACAAACTTAATTGGAAACTAAACTACGATAAACTAAACTAACACGAATAAAGCCAAGCAACACACCAAAACGTGAACTAAAATTAAACTAATTAAATAATTGATAAATGAAAGACTAAACTAAAAGTAATAAAACCAAAAGTAACCACAGGACGCTAAGGAATTTCGTGTTGGGGAACAATGTTTAAGTAATTAGCATAACTGCGCCTTCTAAAAATGCATATGTTAGTTATTTAAGTATGGCGGTGGCGGCCAACTCAACGTTTACCTCCTTTTCTTCCCAGGGGTCACAGACGTCGTCGGAAAAATAAGGGCGATGGCACGGATGATGGTGGGGACAGTGGACGAGAGCACGCCAGCAAGGGCAAGCGTCGACACTCACACGGAAATCGCCTGCGTGTACTGCGTCTCTTCAGCGCTGATGCTAATGCCGGCATGGGTCACGAAATCCCTGTTTTCTACCGAAATACCACTGATTCGGACGTTGGTCAGACGGCGACAGATGATGGTGGCAGCGTCAGTGGCGGCGGCGGGAGCAGTGGACGCAAGTTTAAAGCTGGCTTCGGCCAATCAAACAACAATGCAGCAGCAGCAGCAGCAGCCGACCACCTCACCCCACCCGAGATACAAATCAACCCACCCTCAAGCCAGACCTCACCCAACGCCAGTCGCCGAAATTCCAAGCTCTAGTGTGGACGCCAAGGATGGATGCCTTTTGATGCTCGCGAGCGCCGCGGTAGCGCATTTACTTGCGCGACCTCTCTCCCCTGATGTTGTTTTAATCTTCTTGTTTCACACACAGTT